TTGGGCATCTATGACTAGAAAAATACTCTCAGCCAACAACAGAATGGATTTGCTCCACTTTAGACTTTCCAGAAGACCACAAAAATTGCTTTACCCTTCTTTCTACTTCAAGTGTTAGGGTGGTTCCATAATATCACAGAAGCCAGGAAATTCCACTCCATAAGGCTAGCAGATGCACAGAACCACAGTTTATGACTAAGGATAAATACAACCTGCAAATAAACAGAAACAAAGCAAAATGAGGATAACTTTAAATAGCTTGTATTTTTCTCTTCCCTTTGCCAACATTCAGTTTGTGTTTGTTTATCAATCCTGAAGGCACAAAAGAAAACTTCATTTTCCTAGCAAATCAACATTATGGTTTCAGCGCAATGAAACATGAATTTTTATCTACATTAACTGCAAAATATTGGCTGGGTCTTCCAGGACATGTGGCCATTTTCTGAATACAACCAACAGTTTGGAAAAGTCCTTAAATGTGGTAATGTGAGCTGTTAACAAATTACTACAATGAAACGGTTACATCCATATCTGCTAGTTTAGGAGGCCAATGAAATTCAGCAATAAATTATCCTTTATAAAGTAGATATTCTGTTGTACAGAATGTTTTCTTGCAGTGCAGTAATAAAATAATACCCAAATAAGACTGGCATATGGAGATTTTAACAATATGGATATCTATCATCAACAGAGGATTGTTGTTTTTTAAAAAAGTTTTCATGTAAAGGTAAACTCCCTTTATATGACCCTGTAATCCCTTAATTTGGGGTAGAATTGGAGTGACTGGATGGAGCTGAGTGTTTACTAGCTGGATGCTCTTCCTGACGCCACACGGAGTTCACAGCAGATATTTTTTCTTTGTGTCCTAGAAGAGAAACATCTGCCATTACCTAGAGTTGAACTCTCATGAATGGAATGGAAGATGAAAATATTCACCACTAGACCACAATGGGTGGAATGGAAGAATGGAATGGAAGATGAAAATATTCTGAATGGAAGATGAAAATATTCACCACTAGACCACAGCCACTCTTTCATGCAAAGGTAATACAACATTGTACAATACAATACAATGATAAATGAAAAAAAGAATCCCACTGATTGTTAAATTATTCTGTTGGATGCAAAAGCAATTCCTCTCTCAGAATTATTGGGCTGCATTACACTGATTCAACGGTGTGAGAAAAACAAGTTGAAGAATCCTAGCCAGAATATCTGGAGACTGGGTCCCAAATTAAATTCGCCTTTCGCCAAACTAGACAATTAGTTTATTTAGGTAAGCATTCCCAACACTGACTAGTTGTAGCTCTCCAAAATTTCAGAAAGGAGTCTTTCCTAGACCGATTTGGAGAAGCCAAAAAATAAAAAATTTCTAACATTTTTAACCATGACCAATGATTGATCAATGTATATGGAATAAAAAAATAATGCTGGCCCATCAACAGTTTTTGAGCGGTGTCAGATTTCAGAGGCACAGTGCTTTTCCAGTTTTGGTTTATTTTGGCATAAGGACACTAAATACTTAGATGCATTGGGCAATATGCATATTTCTTCACAAATAGATAGGCAGAGCCTAGATGGAAGCAAAACAATGAACACTTTCATAGCTTCTCCAACCTTCACTGCTGTACCATCAGATTTATAATAGCCAACTGTTATCTGAAGACTCTATTTAGGGTCTGTTATTTTGCCTTTTTTTCAATTCTAACTTTTTTTTTCCTTTGAAAAGCAATGTAGGACATCCTTTTCTACAAAATAAATGGAATGAGAAGGAGTAAGGTATGTCCCATTCACCTGAATGTATGTACATTTAAGAATAGTATTTAGTCCTTTTCTTAGCTTCTTTTTAAAAGTCAATAGACAATACAGACAATACAGTTAATCTGTGAAATCAACTCAAGAATGAGGTTGTTTTGTTATTTTTCCTTAATAAAAAGAGGCACTATTCACTATTTTGCTGGATCTATTTACAGGTCCAAAATTCTCGGCAGATACTTGCCTCAGGCAACTATCCCTGCAAAAAGACTAATTTCTAAGGTTATAGGATCTTATATGAACTGCAATCCATCCACTTTAACAGTCCTACAATAGGCATTCGGTTGAGCTACATCTTGCAGTCCCCCTGGGCTTTATACAGTGGTTACATGGAAATTCAAATAGTAGCTTTAAAAGTAAATCTTCTCATTCATATGCAAGATAAACTGCACCTACTGATTTTTTTTCCCTGCTAACCAACAATTAAACTTATATAGTTAAACACACACAATACATTCCTCTCCTTTGCAGAGGCAGGAAGGAAGAATCAAAATATTTCATCAAAATTTAATGAAAAAAAAAGGAAAATGTAAGTTTAAAAAATAGAAAAGAAAAACAAAAACTACCCAAACCTGGCACAAATGGCACAACCCAGTTCTTCTGCTGGGAAGATGAAAATTTTGCCTTTATATTTAAGTGGAATGCCATTTTTTCTCATTTTAATTAGTGCAGAAATCTGAGAAGTATTTATACGCTATTGAATATGATTTTTCACAAATCATCTGTTATGATATACTAGTAGCCAAATTACTGTAGTAGCAAACAATTAAATGTCTACTAGGTGGCTTCTAAAGTAATGAAATGGGACTTCCAGGGAGTGAAAAAAAATCACTTGGCAATACTTTTATTAGGATCAATACATATATTTTAAAATAAGTTGACAAATTTCCTAGTTTACTAAACCCTTTAGCTGATCAGGTGCTATATAAAGGAGGAAATAGAAAAAAAAGTACAAAAATTGTCTCACTCCTATAGCACTAAGTCTTAAACCTAAAGATTGGGTCTATGTTTATACCCTGGAATAAATCATGATTTGGATTTAGTCATGGTTTGTTAAATTTGCACTAAATTAATGAAACATGGATTACAAGTCACCGAGGGAGAATTCACACAATATAACTAAACAAAAACATATTATGGCCTTGTACAGTTTGAGGAATTTATGCATCTGAAGCAAAGCACGTTGGCCTCAATGTAATTATGCAAACAGTGCAAATTGGGTAATTTGTATCTCCAAAATTTGAGTTGCATGATGATGGCAAAAATTATACAGCAATTTGCATGATGGTGTCACAGACGTACATGTTGATACTTGCCCCCCCCAAGATGGCCGTGTTTATGAACTTGGTTGATTTGAGAGCAATTTCTCTGTGGGATTCATGTTTCCGTTTTTAAAAGGTTATGGCATAAAGACAAAGGGTCAATCTCACCATTGAAACACTCCTCATTTTGTGAGATTCCTCTTCAGTCTTCTGAGAAAGCACCAATCTCTTGTTGAGCAAAGGGCAGAGGGAAAAAAATCTAGCAATCTTGTAGCAGCTATGTACTGTAGTTAGGGTTGTCCAGCCAGAAATGGAACGTAATATAGCGTAACCAGATATATTCAGATTTAATTCTTACACCATAGCAGATGCGTATGGGATCATAGCATTAAGGTGAAATCTAAGTGTATTTGCTCCGAAATTAAGAACACTGAAATTTTCATAACATTGTAACCTCCAGAATCTGAACTGCTTCAACTCCAAAGCAGATTCTGCCAGATTTAGTTGAACTGCCATATGCACCAAGCCTATTTTTCTTTTTTAACACACACACACACACACACACACACACATTCAAAATTGTCTACCAAGGCCCGTTCCATTTATACTTAGGTTACACCTCAGTTATAGTATTTATCACAGCTATAACACTTTTAGCATATCACATGCAGACTATTACTTCTATTTATTTTACACTAGCAAACCTAGTTAAACCAAGAGAACGATTCTGTCAAGGTGGTCCGTAGATGAATATGCCTGGAGTGAGGGGAATTTAAAAAAAAAAATCTTAATTCAACATTTCCTTCCAACCGAGCGCCTATTTTATAACTCTACTTGTCAGTTAAGTACTCTTTCAGCGCGGTGATAGCTTCAGTGTTAGGCACACAATAGGCTTTACTTTCTCAGGTGCCCAATTTCAACTGGAACTTCCGTACTTTAAAAAAAAAAACACGTTTGGCTTACTTACACACACACACACACCCTCCGCCCGCTTCCCCCTCCGCACCATTTTTAAAGCCTCGTCCGATTGTCCTGTATTCTAAAATACAATACAATTGTTGCTTCTTTTAATAGGAATTTTAACGCTGCCGCCGTTGGCGAAGAGGGGGGAGGAGGAGAATCCTTTTTCGACTACACTCGGAGATCGACTAGGCTTCCCTGCCCGGAGCTCAGCGCCTGGTACTGTTTGGCTCAAAGGGCAGTCGCAGTTGCCCTGAACAGGTGGTCAGAGCAGGAGGCGGTTCAACAGGTGCAGCTTGGCTGCCATGAAGTCATGGGCCGAGCTGCACCTGTGGCACTTTTCCAGCCGCTGCTGAAGCGGCGGGGACTGGGTGGACGAGGGCCACCCCGCAAAGCTAAAGCGTTGCTTTAGGCGCTGTTCCACCTCGCCTCGAGGGCTTATAGCAAGCCAGTTCCCACTTTGAAAGCCGGCCATGGGCGAGAAAGCGGGAACTTGGCCCTTGGGAGACCCGCCACCTCAGACTTAGAAGACCACCTGTTTGTCAACTGGTGAAGCGCTTGGCTGGGAATGAACAGGAAACCCGAGCGGTTTCGGCACCTGGCTTTTGTTATGTACGTTGTCTGGCCGCCTCAAGGAAAAGTGTGCCTGGGGTTATTCCCTTTCTAATGCCGCGGAGAAAAATTAGGAAACCTAACGCCTTCCTCACATCCTCCACTTTAAAAAAAGAAAAGAAAAAGAAAGCTCCCTCTTCTCTTTCCCAATACATAAGCATCAAAGCGCAGCCACGGCGGGCAGGAGCTTGAAGCTTAACGCTCCCGTTACAGCCGAGGCTGCCTCTCGCCAGAGCGAGAGCTGGAGCGTCTTCCCGAGAGCGGGCGGCAGGAGGCGCTGGCGGGTCCGCTCTAACGGGCTCTTGATGGGCTCCCTGCCGAAATGAGTCCCTCATTCCCGCGGCCGAGGCGCTAAGAAACGGAGGGACGGACGCGCGCCGAGCGAGCGCTCACAGCTCTTCCTTTCGCGGCTGAGGAAAGTAACTCCGATGGAGTAAGAGTGCAGCCGCGATCTCAGAAGCCAGAGCGCCGGGCTTGAGCGTGTGGGCGGGGAGGGAGGGGGGGCGAAAGAAGAGCATCGCCGCACCGCCAGCAAAGAAGAGAAGGAAGGGGGAAAAACAAAACACTGTTGCCTTTCCCTTCTTCCTTCCTTCCTTCCCCGACCAGGCAACTGGCAACTCCGGGAAGGCGAGAGGTTTCCTCCTCGCGGCTCTGGGCAGACACCGCCTGAGCAAGAGACTCCTGGTATAAAGTTATCCAAAGTCGCTATGGCCCCGGAGGCTGGAGCCCTCGGCTTACTGGCGGCGATTGTCTCCTTCGTCGCGCCCTCCGCTGCCTTCCTGGGAGCAGCTCGTGGCCAGTTCTCGGCAGGTAAGGACTTGCTCCGTGCCAAGGCGTCCCGTTTCTATGGGGGGGAGGGAGGGAGAGAGAGAGAAGGAGGCCGCCGCCTCCTTTGCCTCTCTTGGCTTCTCCCGCTGGGTGCCCGGTGAGGGGAATCTTTGGGGTTCGAAGAGTTCCCCGCCAGTTGGAAGAGAGGGGAGGGGGTGGAGGTTGTACCGAGGAAAGGGTCCCATTAGAGAAGGGGGGGTTTCTTTCCCGGATGATTCCGCCACATTCCTCAGATTAGGAAAGGAGGATGCCCAGCAGCCTCGTGCTTGCAATGGAGAGGTTTCCGCCCCCCCCCCACTCCTCTCCCCGAAAAAGGCTAGCCGTTCGGGCTTCTCTCTCTTGAGTTGCTTCGGGGGTTGGAGAAAGCGGAACGCCGCGGTGCCTTCCTTCCAGAATCCCACCTGGCGCGTTCAAGAGCGAGAAAGAGCCTTGTCGACTTTGGTTCGCCCTTTCCTCAAATCGCCCTGGCGCTGGAGGCCGCGGGATGGGGCTCTTTGTGTTAAAAAAAATAAATCACTGGAGTTTTTGCATCTTGGAACTGGAGAGGGATGGGGGGAAGAGACGAGCCAGATCGAGTTTGAAGGGACCCATTATAGACCATCGAATCCAACCCGCTGGCTCGGTGCAGGAATCCACCGGGGCTTCCCAGAGGTTGCACATTTTCGGCTTCTCACGCCAATCGTCGACCTCTCGCCTGGTCAGTTGCCCAGATCCTGTTTACATAGCCTTGGCTCGTTACATTTTGGAATGTCTCCTCGGCTTTGTTAGTAGAGAGGGGGGCGCATTGCGAGAGGTGGGGTGGGCTGATTTCTGCATGGTCGCGGCAACACACACACACACACACACAAACACACACAAAGGCACAAAAGGAATCCGAAGTTTTCCCGGAAGCTTTTGCTAACTTCTTTGTATCTAAAGTGGAAAGGAAGAGGAGGGCTTCGTATAACCGGAGTTTTGAAGGGAAGGTGGTGCTTTAGGGCCCCCGCTTTACCTTCCCCTCCCCGGGATCATTTTAAGCAGCCCCTTTCCCTTTCAAAGGGGAAAGGAAAACAGCCGCGAAAGAGTTAATACTTTGGCGCGGTTATCAGGCTTTTTCTAAAGCAAACAAACTGCACCCAACAGCGACGGGCCGATACCTCCTTTCTTCTGTTGACTTTACTGCCGGGCTAACTTTTGGCCCGAGGGGGGCTGATCTCGGCGGCAGCGACTTCCCGCGGGTGGAATGGATTTGGACGCACAGACTCCCATGCACAGACGTTCAGAAATAACTTGGCATGTGTTCTGGTTAGCGAGCGCCTTTCAGCCTCGCCTTTGTTTCTGGAAAAACGGTGATTAAGCACCAAGGAGAAAGTCATCTGAAGGCTTTGGGGTGGGAGGGAGGGGGGAGAGAAATGCAAGTTGACAGCTACAAGAGCGAAATGCTGAAAGTCCCAACAAACCTGCTTGCCCAGTTCAAGGGATGGTGCCTAAAGACATCCCAGAAACGGTATTGGCTGGTTATCCTTTTGTCTGGAAGGAAAAAGCAGCCGTTCGGGTTTGCAACAGCCTGTGAACTCGTAAAAAAGACCCTTTTGCAAGCTTCCTCCCCAATACAGATTCATTTTAGAACCTACTGAGAGTGTTTGACCTCTGACACTGTTTCTTGTGTTTTCTATGTAAGATCAGAGAAACAGCCTGTCTTAATCTAGTTGGACTGCTGTGCAGTCTTTTCTGTAGAGAGACGGAAAGTTAGAGATGTCAGGGTTCTTATGCTGCTCAAGTCCATTGATTTACAGGGAGCTTCTTTCTGAGTGTGTATAATTATGTTGTAAAGAAGCTCCTCTAATAAACACAAGCTATGTCTATATATTGAATTTTGAAATAAATTTTCTCCTTCCCTTCCAAATGTTTGCAAAAGACTGAAATCTCGATACAAAGTTTTGAAATGGTTGGCTGTAGATTGCTATGATTGAAAGATATTTATGGACTGTGTTTTTAACAAATATAAACAAAAGGTCTTGTGCATATTTTGTCAATATTCTGGAAAAAATTGAGCTATTTCCATTTCATTAAAAAAAATGCAAAACTTTTTTTTTAGTGCCAGTAGTTTTGTTGTGTTGTATGCAGTCAAAGACAAAGGGATAATGTATTCTGCATTTGCCTTAAGTTACATGCTTTCTCTATCTTACTAGCTATGCTAAATCACCTACCGTTTTTTAATCTTATCATTTAATCAGGAAATTTAATTTTTTTTAGATATTTCCATTTCAATGCCAAAGCAGTCAGATCTGTGGTGTGTATGGCTAGCTTTTATTTCCACATTCTGTTGCTGCTCTTTGTATTTCAGTTCTTGTTTCTCACGTACTCTTTCCCCAAGGAAAGTCATGATAACTGCATATTCTACAAGTATAACATTCTTTGTAGCTTAGAATGTAAAATAAGGGACCAAGGTGACATCACTATCCTGGAATTTTATTAGGTTTGGTGACAGGAGGAAAAGACACACACACACAAATGAAAGGATTCTTAGGGGGTGATTCACAGACCACCTGCGATAGGACAGGAATTAAATTAACAGCCAGCAGTCTCTGAATTGTCCTATTTTTTTAAAAAAGAATAGATCACTACAATAAATTGGACATATTATTCTGGTATTGCTGGACTCTCAGTGTTAAACACTATCTGCCCTTGACTTTAGGTATCTGACAATCAAATTGAAATGCTGTCAGCTGGCCATTTATTAATACAGACTTCTAAGTTTGAAGAAAATGATACAATTTTGAGAGATGCCACAAACTGTAGCAGTGCAAGACTAGGCTGGTTTATATATATATTTGAGTTTAGGATATACAACATAATGTGGCCTGAAGTGACCCTCTATAATTTTGTGTAATGTATTCTCTTCAACTGTGTTCTACATATTGTTAAAAATATACTGATGTCTGAAACAAAGACCTAGAGGTTCTGTAAATCAATTCAGGGAAACACTTATTTCTCTAATAAATATGGAACAAAAGACAATAAAAGACAACGGGATTCCTTTTTTTATTCCAACTTCGTTATTTCATCAAAAATTACTCTCAATATTGTTTTGAATGGACAATTGGACAAGCACTGTATAAATATACTAGTGTTGTGTATGATTATGCAAATGTAAATACCATACATTTGTCATGAAGCTTTTACATAGTAACTCCCTTCATCTGATTATAAGGAGCTCATTCTCATTCTTGTCTGGAGCTCTGTGTTTAAAATTATCAGATTCCGTGTAAATGTTGACTGTCTTGATCATCATTTAATTAACAGTTTTAATAATGTCAGCAATGCCTTCAGTAGCTCAGTGATGTGAGCACATTAATTGAAATTGTATTATAGTCTTTAGTTTAATTCCTGAATCATTTGTTGGCATAGAAGCAATATTATTCAGAAGCAGCATAAAAATATAGTGCTGCTTTTTTAAAATTAGATTGTGTAGGAGATTGTATAGGTTCTAGCCCTAGATATAGTTCACAAAATTCTGTGAAACTGGCCCTTTTCCAAGTGACTTTTTCCTGTCATCAGTTTCTCTTCAGGGATATTTAGTGTGAATAAAAAGGTAAAGGAGTCTATAATAGTCGTAGCTGACTTTAGGAGGCAGTGCTTATCTCTGTTTCAAGGCCATTGAGCCAGCATCGTCCAAACACATTTCCATGGTCATGTGGCCAGCATGATGTCTTGGAATGCTGTTATCTCCCTACCAAAGTGGTACCTCTTTATCTACTTGTATTTGCATGTTTTCGAACTACTAGATTGACAGGAGCTGGGGCAAGGATGGAAGCTCACCCTATTGCCCCCAATGCTTGGGTCTCCAATATGAGCTGGCAGCTTTCCAGCTGACAAGTTCAATGTCTTAACTGCTGAGCCATCATATTGCCCCATTTGAGTACAGACAGGAATTAGAGATAAGGGCAAGATGAAGTGCTACTGATTATGGGGGATTGGCCACTTCTTTTATTACTGATTATGAGGCCCACTTCTAACAGTAGAGAAGAAAACTGCAAAATGGGAAAATACCTGAACATGATTTTTTCCTATGCGTTATTCACTCAGCTTTCCATCTAGATAGGTGAGATCAATTAACAGCTAGAAATTCCACCTCAAAAATGTTCTTCAAAATTCCAGCTGTTCATTATCAGGTGTTATCATTTTGCTGACTGTAATGTAACATTCAATGACCATTGATCATATTTAATCCTTTTCTTTTGGAGTTATTTTGGGTACACAAAATAACCTGTTTCACTTGTTGGTATATCATATTATCTCTTGAGTAGAATACAGGTGAACTTGATGAGTGATTCATGGTTTGGAAATGAATTTTACAGTCATGATTCTATGTTAGATCTATCCTAGATGATTTATATATGGATGATCCAAAGCACCATGGAAGTTGGAGGAGGGATGACTTGTTTGTATTTTAATTGGTGCAAATAAAAGACCATTGCTGTTCTTTGGTGACAAGTTTCTCACTTTTATTACATTTTTGTCAAACATTTTCACTGAGAAATAATCTTCCACAGGTAGATTCTTAGAATATTTTGAAGTGGACAGTGAAGGGAATAATTATACAAAGTCTTTGAATCTCCAGATCACTGCTTTATCAATAACAGGAAAATCTATGTACTGGATTAGCACAATTTAATATTATGTCTTAATGAAATTGATCAAGATAGCAGAAAATATGTAAAATGATTCCCTTAAAAATCTTTAAATTTCTTATCATTTGTGAAATCTCTTAACAATAATGTAATATTTTTTTACTAATTAATCTGAAACCTGGCACAGCAGTAGACTTTAAATAAATGTAAAACAAATATAATTCTAATTTTACTGGGGAAGGTGAGTTTAATTAGAAATGATACGATCTAGTTTGGCAAGTTCTAATACAGGATTTTCCAAGCAAATAAAACTTAAGACAATTGAAATATGGTTATTGTGCTTAAAAATGTAAGCTTCTGCTAGCTGAT